AAAACGAGGATTCATTGCTCGCGTCCCGTTGCTTAAAAGATGCGCTCCGTAAATTTTGGCCGCGAATGCGCTATAAACGTCAAATCTTACTATTCGATCATACAAGAGTAATCCAAGATTTGTCGGCTGGTGTTGTTCATTAGCTGCCTTCCTTCTAATCAATCAGTTTACAGTTCGTGACAGCTATGCGCAAATATCTCTTGTGTAGTTCTGCGCGAAATCTGAAACGAACTGTAGCACAACCAGACTACGAAGAGGTTGCTAAGATGAAGCCAAACTTTTTTAATATATTAGTTCTAGTAGAGACCCGCAAAATATCTACGGTTAAATTAGTATCTTTATTTCAACAGTACTTCTTTAAATACAGGATTTGTAGAATAATACGAAAAAGCCCCCCAATGGCACAGCGGAATGTCTGCGAATTTATACCGCTAGAAACCAGGTTTCGATACCAGTGGTGGACAGAGCGTAGATAGATAATCCTTAGTGTAGCTTTGTGCTTAATAACAAACAACAACAATAACACAAAATAATTCTAATCGCAAAATCTACAAGTCCACTTGTCTTAGGCCTAACATTAGTTAAGACTTTTTTTTTAAAGTATGGTCTATATTGGATAAAGAGAGTAATTAAAACTGTAACTTGTGCACGTATTTTGCTTTAGTTTAGTTAGGGCTAAACTTTATTCTACCTAATACTATCAATAAACAAGCTTATTTTATTCTACGACCTAAGGTTAGACCTTTTTAAAACTTTGATATTAAAAAGTATATTTACACCCGCATTTTTTCGTAGATAACTTAAACTCTGATTTATTATGAACATGGAAAAAAAACACGTTATCATCAACCTCTTTTATAGCAAACAAACTGAAATACCCCTCAACTGAGCCCGTCATGGCCAGGTGGTTAAGGCACTCGACTCGCAATCTGAGGGTCGCGGGTTCGAATCCATGTCACACCAAACATGCTCAGCCTTTCAGCCGTGGGGGCGTTATAATGTGACGATCAATCCCACTATTCGTTGGTAAAAGAGCAGCCCAAGAGTTGGCGGTGGGTGGTGATGACTAGCTGCCTTCCCTCTAGTCTTACACTGCTAAATTAGGGACGGCTAGCGCAGATAGCCCTCGTGTAGCTTTGCGCGAAATTTAAAAACAAACAAACCGTCAACTGACGGGAAATGTTTAAATTTAATTAAAACAATGTACATTTAACAGCAGCCATATATTTCAAAGTAATAACTTGAACATAAACTTTATCTCAAAATTTAAAAATTATAACAAAGCTTCTTCTTTCCATCTACCAATAAATAAAGGTTTTGAGGTGATCCCACCCTTGAACACTCTAAATTTCATTGACCATGAGAAAAGCATAGTTGTTTAAAAAACAATCCAATAACTTTCATACTTTGCAATTGAATCCCTTTAGAATATTCAACATTGTCTAAAGCGTCAACCTGCTAAGATTGTTTGAGTTTGACTCAATAGGCTGGGAATAATTAACCAACAGGCTTTACAAAATATAAATACAGTTAAGTTCAATTTTGACCCCTTTAGGACATTCCCCGTAGTTCTTAGTGTTTACATATACATTTTGGTTGAGATTGGTCCAATAAGATCGGAGGAGTTAGGATGCCGCAAACAAACACACATTTCATCTTCATATATATATAAATGAGTTACATATTAACAATACAATTTTATACATTTTTCAATGTATATTTTTGTCAGTCCTTCCTGGACAGCGCCTGCAAGTCTAAGAAATGATTGTTTTTATTTTTGATGCACCTTCATTAGGCCTAATGATGAACCTAGTAATGTTATTTCATGAAAGTTTCTTTTTCATATATATATTTAGAAATACTTTTTAAATACAAGTATAAATAGGCTGCTAAGAGGTTTTAGTATTAGCTATAGGTTTTTGTAATACACTTAACTGTATATGAATAAAATTGAAGTATTTTGATTAAACCCGGGTGTTGAAATCAGAATTTTTTTTTCAGTAAACATAAGCTGTTTTTTTTAACATTTGTGCAATCAGCAGCCAGGTGATTGTTCGTTTAACTATGATTTCATAGATAGCCAAGTCGTTTGATTTATTTGCCTTATACAATGAGAATACATACATAATAAATAAACGACACTAACACAAAAGTACTTCCCATCATTGGGTTATGTAGCGAGTACCTGATGTTGAACGTGAGAGGTTAGGATCTCCTGAGCACACTGCGAAGTTTAGGACAGTCTAAACCGAACATTGGTACTTAGTATAAATACTACAGGATCGTTAATCATGAGTGTCATTCTAGATTCTCGTGTACTTCACGTGTCACGCCCCCACATTCTCAAGGGGACCATGTGACAATCGATATCCAAATGATACGCAGCTGTGAATCTGACACTTGAACCGATATCTTGTTTGATAGCTATTGAACGAGCCTGTTATGTGACAGATAGTACATCGCTTATACGCACGTGCTTTGCAAATAAAATAAACATTGTTCATTTTATTATTCCTGTTGTTGTTGTTGTTTGGTGCTATTTTTCTCATAAAACCCATGTAAGTTCCTTTTTCATGTCTTCCTATTCTGCGTTTATGCCTGAATTTGTGATTGCTTCAATAGCCTTTTGTCTTCTAATTATCACCTTTGCCGCCTAATTTAGGGTGGTCCTGTTTGTTTTTCAAATTTATGGCTTTATTAATATTTGATTTGCTGCACTACTACAAATGTAAAATAATGTAAAGTTTTTTGAAGGCTCAACGGTAAGTCTGCAAACTTATAACGCTAAAAACTGGGTTTCGATACCCATGGTAGGTACAGCCCAGATAGCTCATTGTGTAGTTTTGTGTTTAACTACAAACAAACAAACAAATATTTAAATAAAAAACATTTTAATTGCCCCTAGACCCTAAAAAAATGGAATTAAAAACATTTTTTTTCTGTATTTCGAGGTTTATGTATTTTATATTCGCGATCTGTTAGATAACTAGCTATTTACTAAGTGTTAGACAGAAAAAAGATAGACTGTTACACTCTACAGTACAGTAGATGAACTACACGTTTTATTTCTTAGCTACAAAGGTGTCAATAATTTATTTGTTTTCTACAAATCGGTATTTTCATAAAATACTTATTTATATAATCAAGATATTCAAAACTTGCCAATTTTGGGAAATAAGGAATACAGCACTTAAGTGTAATATATTTCTAACGGAAAAAAAGGTATTAGAGGAATAACATTATTTCTACATATAGCCATTAAGCTCTTGAAAAACCTGAGCATCGCAGTTGTTTAGAAAGCTGATCCCATGTTGGTACCTCAAAACTTTAACCTTTAACGTCTACGTTCTCCATGTTTGAATGTCGCTAGGTTTCTGGTTCTGGTTTCAGTTAGATTTACAACGCCCAAGTGCTACCTATATTTGAGTAGCAGGATACACAAGTTGCCCCAATCAGTTATCACTTTGAATCATAATTATCAACTTCCAGATTCATGTATATTATTATTATAACTATTTACTATAGATCTTCCCTTGGGTGATTATTGCTATGAAAGATTGTTTGTTTATTTGTAATTAAGCACAAAGCTACACAATGGGTTATCTGCGCTCTGACCACCACGGGCATCGAAACCCGGATTCAAGCGTTGTAAGTCCGCAGACATGCCGCTGTGCCACTGGGGGGCGCTACGGAAGAACTCCTGCAAGTTTATATTTAATATCTTCCTATTCTACGTTTATGCTTGAATTTGTGATTGCTTCAATAGCCTTTATGTTTTGTTAATAAGCGAACATTTATTCTATGTATGTTTTAATAAGTAAGCGAAAGCTCCGGGCTGTAATTAGTATTTAAAATTGTAAGCCATTTATGTTTTAAATTATTGATGATGTTTGCGCAAAACTATTTGAGGGTTATCTACGCTCTGTCCACCAATGGGGAATCGAGCACCGGATGTAAGCGTTTTTTTTTAAAGTTAAGCACAAAGCTACACAATGGGCTATCTGTGCTCTGCCCACCAATGGGGAATCGAGCACCGGATGTTAGCGTTTTTTTTTAAAGTTAAGCACAAAGCTACACAATGGGCTATCTGTGCTCTGCCCACCAATGGGGAATCGAGCACCGGATGTTAGCGTTTTTTTTTAAAGTTAAGCACAAAGCTACACAATGGGCTATC